GGGTGTCAATTCTGATGTAGAAGATGCCGTGCTGGGTGTGCCTGTTAGAAACATCAGGGACAGAGAAAACAGACAAAGGCACAAAGGCATCAGTGTGACTCTATAGGAAATCAACAGAAGCTGTGCATGGGGCAGCTGCCCCAGACCTAGAGGCATCAAGCCACTCTTATTTCAACAAAGGTCCCTAGGACTAGCTCTTATTTTCTGGCCCCAGAGAGAAGAATCCTTGAAATCCCTGCACTGAGATGGTCATGTTCCTCCTTTCCTAGCTAGGACACTGGGGATGGTTCTGGAAGTTGCTTTGCACAAAATCAGAAATACCAAGCAAGAGAGGAGGAGGAGTAATGCCTTTTATCTGGCTGATGCCTTCTATCTCTGCCTCATTTTCTGAACACCTCACCAAATCCTGGAGCAGGAGCTGAGAGGGGAATGTGTGGTTCGAGAATGAAGCACATACAGAAATATGTTCCTGCCTCATTGTACAGTAGCTCCACTGATTTGATATCAGCCCTCTGAAGGGATTCCCAGAGGATTTGTGAATCTCATCAGCCAAAGACCGTACATCAGAGGAAGTGACAGTCTGCAGAGTGAAACTGTTCCCAAAAGCCTGTCACAGAAATCCCTGCTTCCTGTATCTCTAAACACTGGCACCCACTAGCACTGATATTGTAGAGGAGGAGAAGACAGTGAATTTTTCCCAGAAAGCACCTGAAATTACAGTGCCACAAGACTAATCCTCATTGCAATTTCACACTTACGTCCAGTGACTAAATTCTTGACAGATGAAGGACAAGGTCCAACAAGTACACAGGATTTCCCATCAATTTAGCATCTCTCTAAGCCCAGCAGGAGTATCAGCATGAAACACCTTATTAAATGCCTGTTGAGTAATGGAAGCCAAGGGCTTCTCACAAGAACCCCTGAATTTTCATCACTTCTGAAACAGCCAGCCCAAGTTCCAGTTTTGGGCAAAGGGCATTTCATGGGATGCACAGCAGTTACACCCTTCCTCAATTCCATACTGAGGCACAAATGGAAGTGCTAACAGACCTTCATTACTCTCTAAGCAAGAGGACACAAGTTCAGACAAGGCAGAAGTACCTGGAGTTGGTACGGTGGTTGTATATCTCGATATGGGTGTGGATGTGCTTGAAGTAGTTGAGAAGGTTGTTGATGAGCCAGTAACAGTTGTTGTTGTTGTCCTAGGGGTGCTGATGCTGGTGGTGCTGCTGGGAGGCATTGTGGTGCTGGAAGTGATGTTGGGAGTTTCAGATGCTGTTGGAGTGGGAGTAGTTGGTGTACCTGGTGTGCTTGTAGGTGGGGCTGTTGGGAACAGTAGAAACAGAGAAAACAGACAAAGGCACAAAGGCATCAATGAGACTCAATACGAACACAGCAGAAGCTGCACATGAGGCAGCTGGCACAAACCTAGAGAGGTCAGCCCACCCTTCGCAAAGCAATGGTCCCCAGAACCAGCCCTTCCTTTCTGGCTGTAGAAAGCAGAATCCTTGATATCCATACACAGAAAGTGTCATGGTTCTTCTCTCCGCGTGAAGAGATTAAAGATGGTGCTGGAAGGTGCTTCTCACAAAATCAGACAGACAAACCAATAGGTAAGAGATGAGGAGGAGCAATGTTTTGGATCTAGCTGGAGCATTCTATCCCTGCCTCATTACTGGAACACCTCACTAACTCATGGAATAGAAGATAAGAGTGGAAACTGGGAAGGAAAACATGCCCAGGAGTATGTTCCTGCCTGATTGGCATGTGACTCCCCTGTGTTCCAATGTCAGTCTGATGCAGGGCTTCCCTGAGCACTAGTGGATCTCATCAGAGGTACCATCAGCCAAAAATTAAATACGCAGCAAGAGCCAGTCTGCAGAGTGAAACTGTTCCCAAAAAGGCTGTCAGGAGAATCCTTCCTTCTTACACATTTAACAGCTGACAACCACTATCACACAGAGGGCATAGGAGGAGAAAAGGAGGAAAGCCTACACAGCTGAACCCAAACACAGCCTGAAATGCCACTGCTACAAGACCAAGTCCCACTCCAACTGCACTCCATGGCTCCAGTGACTACATTCTGGCCAGATGAAGGACACTGTCCAACAGCTGCAAAAGTAATGTTACCCATTGGTTCAGCATCTGTCTTAGCTGGGCACTGACATGAAATACCTCCTTGAAGCACTGTTGAGTCAGGAAAGACACGACATTCCCCCAAGAACCCCTGAATTCTTGTTCCTTATGAAATAGCTAGCCCAAGAGCCAGACTTGGCCACAGGACTTTTCCTGGGATTCACAGAAGTTACACCCATTCCTTATCCCATCTAAAGCCACATATGGAGGTGTTTCATGGATCTTCGCTACTCCCACAGCAAGGCTAGAAATACCAACAGAACTAGAGAATTATTTGTCAGTTCTGTTCCTGGGAGCAGAGGGGTTTTGGTGAGAATTATTGCTTTTGGAAACATACTTTGAGGAGTTGAGATGGTTGTTGTTGATTCAGGAACAGTGGTTGTTGTGCTTGGAGGGCTGGTGGTGGAGGTGGTAGTCTCCGGTGGCAGGGTAGTGGTTGTTGATTTTGTTGTGCTTGGTGTGGGTGTAGTTGTGCCTGTTAGAAACAGAAGGGACAGAGAAAACAGACAAAGACACAAAGACATGAGTGGGACTCAGTGTCAACTCAAGAGAAGCTCTTCACGAGGCAGTTGTGCTGGGGAAGGTTTAAGTTGGATATTAGGAGGAATTTCTCCAGAGAACAAATGATTAGACACTGCAATGGACTGCCCAAGGAGATGACAGAGACACAGTGTCTGGTGGCTTTTAAGACAAAAGTGGATGTGGGACTTAGTGCCATGGTCTAGGTGGCATGGTGGTGTTTAGGCAAAGGCTGGACATGATGATCTCAGTGATCTTTCCCAACCAAACTGATTCTGTGAATATATTCCTGCCTGATCATCCTGTGATATCCCTGTGGCGCAATGAAGGCCTGATGAACAACTTCCCTGGGCACTACTGAATCTCATCAAGGCCCTAGTAAATCTCATCAACAGTTCACAGGATGGGGCTGTCTGCAGAGAGAAATTGGTCCCAAAAGTCTGGCAGGGGAATCCTTCCTTCCAACATCTATTGCAACTGACAACTTTTAACACTGACTGGAAAAAGAAGGCGAAAGGGAGAAAACTCGGAATAGCAGTGTCCAGACAGAACCTGATATGCCACTGCCACTAGACCAAGTGAACTCTAATTGAATTCCATGGCTCCAGTGATTCCATTCTGGCCAGCAGAAGGATGGCCCAAAACCAGCAAAAGCAACACTTCTCATCAGTTCAGCATCTTTCTAAGCTGGGCACCAGCATGAAATAACTCCTTGGTGCCCTGTTGAGTCGGGGAAGCCAAGACCTTCTTCCTGTAATCCCTGAATACCTGTTCCTTATGAAACAGCAAGCCAAAACACCAGGTTTGGAACAGGCCATTTCCTGGAGTACCTATTAATTATACCCATCCCTGATCCCACACAGAGGCAGAAAGAGGTGCTTACAGATCTTCATTACTCCAACAGAAGGGAAACGTGTGAGAGCACAAAATGTAGAAGTACCTGAAGTTGTGGTGGTGGTGTATGTTGGTGTGGGCGTGGATGTGCTTGGAGTAGTTGACGTGGGTGTTGATGATTCAGTAACAGTTGTTGTGCTCGGAGTGCTGATGCTGGTGGTGCTGCTGGGGGGCATCGTGGTGCTGGCAGTGGTGGTGGGAGTCTCTGATGGCAAGTGAGAGGTTGGCGATTCTGATGTACTGGATGTTGTGCTTGGTGTGGATGGAGGTGTGCCTGTTGGAAACAGCAGAGACAGAAAAAACAAAGGCACAAAGTCATGAGCAGGATTCAATAGGAAGTCAACAGAAGCATTGCATGAGGCAGCTGCCCCAGATCTAGAAGTGTCAGCCGATACTTAGTACAGCAAAGATCCTTAGCAACAACCCTCCCTCTCTGACCCCAGAGAAAACAATCCTTGACAACCATGAGGATGATGGGGATCCAGACATCCAGAGAGGGTGATGGCCTTCCTCTCCTAGCTAGGAGACTGGGAATGGTGCTCGAAGGTGCTTCTCACCAAATCAGAGAGACCTATCGATAGGTAAGAGATGAGGAGGAGTAATGTTTTCAAACTTGCTGGAGCTTTCTATCTCTGCCTCATTACCTGAACACCTCACTAAACATGAGCAAGACCTCAGAAGGGAATGTGTGGTAAGGGATGGAAGCATGCACAGGAATATCTTCCTGCCTGTTTGTCATATGATTTTCCAGTGTCAGCCTGATAAAGGGCTTCCCAGTGTACTAGTGGATCTGATCAGCCAAAGATCACAGTTCACAGCAAATGGTAGTATGCAGACTGAAACTGTTCTCAAAAGCCTGGCAGAACAATCCTTCCTTCTTACAGCTATAGTAGCTGAACACCATTAACAGTAAAAGGTAAAGGAGAAAGGTGGGAAACTACACACAGCTGTACCCAAATAAAACCTGGAATGTGTCACAAGACCAAGTCCCACTCCAATTGCATTCCATGGGTCCAGTGACTACATTCTGGCCAGCTGAAGGATTAAGACCAAAAGAGGTAGAAGCAAAATTTCCTTAAATTGAGAATCTGTTTAAGATGAAGCACCAGGATTAAATATCTCCTTAGAGCACTGCTGAGTCAGGGAAGTCAAAACCTTCTCCCTAAGGCCCCTAAATAATTGTTCCTTCTGAAACAGCCAGACCAAAAGTCCAGCTTTGGGCACATGACAATTCATTGGATGTCCAGAAGTTACACTGATCCCTAATCCCAACCAATGCCACAAATGGAGGCACTCGCAGACCTTCAGTAATCCCAGTAGAAGGTCAGAAATGACAACAGGACCAGATTTGTTGGTTGGGTAGTTAGATGCAGAGTAATTTGGTAGGAATTACAACTGCTGGGAACATACTTCCAGGAGTTGAGATAGTTGTTGGTGATCCAGTAACCGTTGTTGTGGTTGTTGCTGTTGTGCTTGGAGGGCTGGTGCTAGTGGTGGTAGTCTCTGAGGGCGAGGTAGTGATTATCGATATTGGTGTGCTTGGTGTGGGTGTAGTTGTGCCTGTTGGAAACAGCAGGGACAGAGAAAACAAAGGCACAAAGGCATCAGTGGGACTCAGTGTGAACTCAACAGGAGCTGTGCATGAGGCAGCCCCCACAGACCTAGAAAGGTCAGTCCACACTTAGACCAACAAAGGTCCCCCAAACCAGCCCTCCCTTTCTGGCCATAGAAAGCAGAATCCCTAACATCCATGCATACACAAGGTCACAGGCCCCCTTGCCTACTGATGATACTGGGGATAGTGCTGGAAGGTGATTCACACAAAATCTGAGAGATCTACCTATAGGGAAGAGTGGAGGAGGTTCTATCTGGGGACTTTCTATCTCTGCCTCATTACCTGAACACCTCACTAACTCACGGAGTAAGAGCTGATATGGGAATCTGTGGTCAGGGAAGGATGTAT